CGGGGGGGGAGGGGTTGTGGAGCTGGCGCCCGTGCCCCCGCCGGCGAAGCCTCTCCCGCAGCCGCCCTCCTCTTTCCGGAGAAAAGGAACAAAAATGGAGAAAATGCCAGATCGGACGGGAAGAGCCGCGGAAGCAGGGCGGCGGCGCGGGCGCTTAGGGCCCTCCGGCGTCAGCCCAGTTGAAGCCGCGGAAAGAAGGGAGAGGCCGCTCTACCAGTCCCCTTGGCTGTCTTGTCCCCCGGCAATTCCTGGAATAAAATCCAACACGGGCACCAGCTGGAAGAGCAAATGGAAGAGCTACGGAAAACCGCTCCCCACCCCCTGCGCCAGATCCCTCCATCTTTCCTCGCATTGTTTGACTCTTTAAACCACAGGTTCTAGGAATTGGAAACCCGGCCGAGGTCGAATTTATCTCGAGGGTCCCGCGTTTTGTGTAGCATCTCACAGCCCTCTCCTCCCACCCCACCCCAAAAAGCCACCCTCTTGCGAAGTCGCGCATTTCCTGTAAATACTAATTGTGGAAAATCCCCGAGATTCAGTTACACAAAGACACCATCGTGGTTGGAGGATCTGGGTCTGCGGGCGCAATGAATGGAACAATAGTGTCATCTGCTGGACAAACTGAGATATAGCTCACTTGGAAACGAGGAGAAATCCCCCTCGCCTCCGCCCCGTTCCAGAAACGGATTTTTAATGAAAGGTCCTTTTTCTAATCGAAAGGATCGGACAACACAATGAAGGGGGGAGGGGGAGCATGAAGCTAATAATGTCTTCCTTATCTGGAATGTTGGAACTCGCCTTCCTTGGCAGGCCTGTCGGAAACATCACGTGGAAAGAAAATATGGGCATTCTAGCCGCTCATATAAGCCTCTGTCGGAAGTCAGTTCAACCTAGATGGCCGAGCCCCGTAATATAAACTTTCTTTATTCCTTTATACGTTTTATGGAATATGCCATATTCCATTGAATTCACTGGAAATTTGTCCGGAGCAAATATGACCAGACGTGGGATGGCTACATATGAGCCAGCCACCAGCGTTTTCCTTCAAAGAGAAACAGCAGCAGCGCGCCAGGGGCTTTTCGCGCGAACGCGTCAATCGAATCCCAGCGGTGCGGCGCGGCTTCTGATAACTGCTGAAACTGCAGCCCGGCTGATTCTACTCGAAAGTAAGTGCTGGTGAATTAAATGGGGTTACTGTGAGGTAGAGATAGGGAAGTTTCATTACAGTAAATGGATCAACGCAACCTCAAAAAACTCTGTTCTTTCTTTCCACGCGGTAATATCTGAACTGATCAGTCGAGGGGGAGGTGCTTGAAACGTTAAGGCTTGCTTTTCTGTAAATCATAAAAACAGTTTGAAGAGGGGTCCATTTTCTTGCTGGGTGTGTATGCGTGTGTATCAGAGAGAGAGAGGCAAAAGGAGAGAGAGAGTCTGTGGGCACGTGCACATGAGAAAATAATAGATGAGCTTGTACACATTTATCGCACATAAAATGCATGTGCATACACGCATATGCACATCAGAGAGAATCTGGAAGGAAA